ATTGAGATATTATAAAGTTTTGCATTTAAATTCAGGTTAATTAATTAACATTTTTAGTATGGAAATTGGCCCAAAACAAAAGATAATTGGTCCTTAAAGTGTATAAGACAGGGACACTGGAGCGAGGGTAGGGCACATGGGGGCAATGTTGACGTAAGGGCAATCACTAGTTAATATTTTGTTTCCGAAAATTTTTTCCGGTACCTTAATTCACCAAAACAAGGGCAAAAAATTTTGAAAACACAATTTTTGACACAATATTCCAGAAAATTTCATGTATATTTCAATATTACGTACATTTCACTGGTAATTCATACTTTTTAATCGTTGTACCTCATATTTTTTGGGTTAGAATTTTTTTTATATAAGGGCACTTTGGCCCCCCCTGCCCCCCTTACTAAAGGACTGAATGAACTGAACGAATTTTTATTATCATTATTGTAGCCACAGACCTACCACAGTGGCAGACACTAGGGTCTCCCCCCCCCCAATGTCAAGTGGCATTGGCTTCACGTCTCACCAGCATGTTATCGTTCCAGATAAAAGAATGGAGTTCACTGCCTAATACAAGGAACTGTTGGGAGGTAAAACTGAGTAATTAAATGTAACAAATTATTTGCAAACATCACATAGCCCATTTTCCTTGTAGAAACACAAAATTTCTTTTTACAAATAAAAATTTCAGAGGGGGTGCAGAGTGCAGACTGAAATGTTTTATTTTGTGCAGGAAATTGCTTGCCTTGTAAAAAATGCATGAAAATGTCAGATATTTTACAGAAAATTTATGGCAGACCAAGGTGTCCTGCAGTCAGAAAATATTTTTGTCAAATAGGAAGATAAAAAATTTTCTTCGTTCACAAATGCATTTTTGCAGATTTTTCAGGAATGATTTGCAGGCTTGGGAACCCCAATGGCTGGAATTTTTTGGTATTAGGTCAAGACAAATTTGGTTCTTTAGCTCAATAGCTTTGCACATCAAGGAGCCTTTTCTGCCAAACCATGGCTTAGCCAGATTACTGACACATTGCACATAAAACTGACTAAGAGTGCTCAGCTAAAGATAGGCTTTAAAAGATTGAAAGGTTCTTGGAAAAAAATATGTGGCTACGAGTGGGCTCACAACCTTGTACCCAGGGTATGTTCTCTCACTCTGCCACCATGCCACCTGCTGACCCTGGGTATAAGGATGGTGGGCTCAAAGCATACTTTATCCTTGCTGCAGATTCAATGATTCATGCCACTCACACAAATCGCTCTCAGATCATATTGAGTCATATAACATGGTTAATCTTGCTTATTTATTCACAATAACTTGCCCGATGGGTTACTTAGCACTGCAGTCTGTTACACAATAAGTATGTCCTCTTTTCTAAAGATAATCAATGACATACATTCATTTCAAAGTTATAATTTAAGTCAACCGAACCTGAGTGATGTAGCCAGGATTTCTTGCCAAGGGGGGTGAAAAATCCCTAGAGGAGCCCAAGTAATTTTACCCTGCACTAGTTTGAATAAAGTTTGTTTATTATGTGAAAATGTATTTGGACTCCCATGCTATCCATGCATAATAGAGCACAATGGGAAAGTTCTAGGGTTGGTAAAGGGCTATTTTAATGCGTTTTGATGATTTTAAATAACCATTTAACACATAACAGTTCTACTTTAATCACAAATGAATCCAAAACATTTAAAACATAGGAAGATATAAAATTTCCATTACAAGAAATAAGAATATAAATGCACATGCTTGTACTGCTCAGAATTTCTCCAAGGTGGGCCCAATGGCCCCGGGATCCCCTCTGGCTACGTCGCTGAACCAAATGAGTTATTATTATAGCACCCATGATTATGTCCCATTTAACAGCAATATTATGCTAAGGGCAATTAATCTTTTTCCTCATTTAAAACCCACCGTAAATGGCATGGTAAAGAGGTTGCACACTGAGGTTACGTTTCGTTACATTTAAAACGCTCTTTTGTGCTTACGGTAAAAAGTTTATAATCATTACGACACTGGCCAAACACAACTTCATGGAGTTTCTTAGTTTGAACTTGGGAGAGGCTGAGCCTGAAGTGGTCGTCATGTTACTCGTTTGTTGCGCTTTGTTGGTTTTTGGTGTGGTGGTGATGTTGAGGGTGGTGGTGAGGGTAGTGGACGATTTAGTTGGTTTGATAATGGTGGAGGTCCGAACATATACCACCCGCCCGCATTTGTGTTCAGTATTACCAGCATCATTTGCTTTGCACCAATAGTAATTCTTGTTGTGGTGGTCACATTGATGATCTGTTAGGCATGTTTTGCCCTGAGAGGTCCTACCTGGTTTAGGTGAACAATGGTCTATCGTACCCGCTTTGTCTGTCTCACACATATAGCTACCTTCCTTTTTAGAGCATTCACTTCTACACGATAGATTGTATGTGGATGTGTAATGCACATATTGAGTGGCATCTCTTCTCAACCGAGACCTTGCACCATCGTTCCATTCGCTGAACCTCTGTAGTGGAGACAACTGCTTGACGCATACAATAAACAACACGAGGAAACTCAGGAACCATAAACGATGGTTTACATATACTAAAAACGATGAAATAATAATACACCCTTTGGATAATTACGTCACAAACCCGTCCTTGGCCTGCGAGTCTCTTTTCATGAATCGCGAGCGAATAGCCTTTCGCCTTGAATCATGAGAGCGAGGCTCCTGGCCAAGTATTTTTTGACTTAATTATTGAAACGGTGTACAGTAATTCTTCGATTCGAGTTCACGTTATCGATTTTTCATCTTCATATTTGACTAAAATGGACCCCAGAATTAAAATCTACATGCTCAAATTAGTCTACATCGAAAATTTCATGATGTTTGGACATTCAGGGCCTGAGTGCACTATTCATTCAACTGGAATTTTTGCTGCAGTGAAAACATTTACACACATACATACCCACGTACATACATCATCATTATTCAGCTCACTGGGGCTTTTCATTGGCCGATTACATCAAGTATTTCGCTCATGTTAGTACTTACTTAGCCTAGACTATATTTATCTTTACAACAATTGAGATATTACGTTCCTAACTGTGTTTATCCTAACCCACCCTGTCAACTACTCTGGATATAATAAATATATAAAATGTATAAAATTTACTCTCGAAATTTCCGTCTAGAAAACCCTTTGACAATCAGTTATCTCTAAAAGTAGTCGCGGGGAAATTCTGAGCATGGCCAAAGATTTATTCTGCTGACATTTTCCATCCCATTTCTTTCATTTTTCATCTCCAAGAGTATCATAACTAAAGAAAGTGTCGGCAGAATAGATTGCGGTTCATGCTCACATTTCACCTCTGTCACTAGTTTTTGGATAACATCACTCTGTATCCGAAAGTTGCAGTAAAAATTGTATAGCACGGTCTATGTTCTAACTTGATGACCGGGCATGTGCAGATCTGATCTGCACATGCCCGGGCAAGTTTGATGTTTTTCCAGGAACACCATGGGTTACCGTATAGACGGTAATTAAACCATTGTTTTTCTTTTGTGATTGAATCGCATTTGAACTACGACACCTCTGTCGAGGAAGCATAGAAAATGACTAAGATTAATAAGCTTGCATTTTAAAAATATTCACAATGATCTTAACTGAATATAAACTATAAAGATAGAAGGCATTTTAGAGCCTACGTTGAACAATTAGCCTTTCTAACGCCGCCATTTTTGGGTGGCATTTCAGCTGAAGTCTGTGCCGATAAGTCCACATGCATAACAGCGACTTTTTATTATTTTTTGGACGAATGATGGTAAATTTGCTTTGTAAATGGTTAGTTTATTTTGAAAAATTGCTTTTCACATTGTTTTAATTGTCTGCATTGGATAATGAAAATTTGATGCACCCAAAAATGGCGGATATTCGTCATCGTGAGAAAGGCTAATTAGGTGTCAATAGAGAGTTTAATTAAATATACGACAAACGGCAAACGCCAGGCAGAATCGACACAAGAAAGAAAATATGAAACGAAAACGTTCAACGAAAATGTTGCCAAGAAAGTTCGAACCTGCCGTTTGCCGTTCCCGGAAACATGAAGCTTAATCTCCCTATTACAAAAGGAATTGCGGGTGGCGGATGTGTGCCCCTTGACACTGGATTAAGCCTGCAACGAAAGGACAAGGGTATATAGGTTATTGTAATGAGTTATGGTCTTAATGTATTCAGGACTGTGAAATGCAAGGACAGATGATTGGCGCCCTTATTTTACTCCCTCTCTTTCTTGCTTTAAAATTTATATTTTGAACAAATCAATAAATTTATAACATCCTGCTGAGACAATGATGTTTATATATGTTTGTTTATGTGTACATGTTGTAACATATTATTTCCCCGCATTTATGTAATCTATACGTATGAATTTCAAATTATAAATATAGTATGGTACACATACAATAAAAAACCTGATAATCAGAATCAAGTCACATTGAAATAAGACCGCGCGATTTCTTAAACAGTGCACATCAGGATAGCTACGCTTTGGCTCGAAAAAAATCGCATTAAAACGCCGTACTAGTGGCAGTGCGCAAATAATGCATGATGGTCGGGACGGGACCGCGCAAGTTATATTTGCGCATTGGCATCAGCATCATTAGGACAGACACGCGAGTTTTAGCTGGGCTTAAATGATATGAACATTGTCTATATAAGTTATTCAATGTTTAATGTTGACGTTTAATGACTAATGTATACTACTTACGATCAACTGCGCACAAATTTAATAAGAGTGGTGTTCGTGTGAACAGCAAGGCGTCAAAACTCAAATGTTTATATAAAACAAAAAAATATAAGAAAATTTAACATTGGCAATAAACTATTCAAGCATAAGCCAAATAATCCATATAGCCATTGAACTTCAATTTTACACGGCAAACAAGTCAGTGTGTTTACACTATCGACGTTTTAAAGTAATTAATAATAATAATAATAATAATATTTATTCAGGAAACTCCACTCACCGAAGTGTTTTTCAGGGAGGTCCTGTAATATATATCTATATTATACATGGTATTCGTAAACTATACGTCTATGCTTAATTGACCAAAGTGTGTGACAATTTAAACATCATTGTCAAGTTAAAGGCACAATTTTCTGGTCGAAAGCGGTCTTTACATACTGTGAACACAGAATCGGTAATGAACGTAAATCTTAATCAATATTTATATAAAATTTACGAAGATTAAAACTTTTCCGTGGACGTAGTCACTCGGTCTACAGAGACTAACTAGCTGGACATATTCGGAAGTAAGGTCTAAATGCGTCCGGTTCCATTTGTTCATATGGAAATTCATACAGCCGAGCTGTGCTCAAATACGTCCAGTTTTATATGCGTCCCGTGTCAATACAGAAGGTGAAATCGTGAGTGTCCGCTCCTGTGTGAGTAAAACACTGAGTCCTTATGCAGAACGTATATAATATATGTGAGCAGAACAAATCTTACCTGCGGAAATATTCCAATGAAAGTCTTCTTCGAACAAAAACATAAACTGATCTCCTTAATATGTTGTGTTTTTGCAATACTATATATCATGCATTTAAGAATCGGGCATTAGCCAATGACATTTCGCTGACAATTGTCCAGTTAGCCTGCGTGTAGCCTCAACACGATATTTAAAAAATTCGGGTTGCCGGGTTGCACGCAGGCTATTGTTCAGTGAGATTGCCAACCTCGTACCCAGGGCTTCCATCTTTGTTTGTTTAACTTTATTCAGTACAAATTAATTTAACAAATATTCATCTAAACATGCAATTAAAAAAGTGCTGTACTCAAATGGACAAGGCACAAACTGGACGTAAAGTTCATTGCACGGTGCCCCTCATCTTCCTAACATAGACCTTGTGGTTAAAGTCAAAGTATGCTGTACAGTAATAGGGTGTCCCAAAAAAACCCCAAAACCACTGAAACAACGCACCGTTAGAATCCGAACGCCCCAGCACCAAGCTGAACGCAAAGATGCGCACAATATGATTAACAGGGTGCATATATTATAAAATTGACTTATTAAGAAATTAAAATATTTTTGTAAAGCGCACGCCGATTTTCTGCTCTTTGGACTTCAAAGCAGCTTCTTAAACAGTTTCTTTATGCGTAAAATTTACTTATGTCAAGCTTTCATATGCACTTGTGGGTTCAGCAGAGTGCTAAGACATTCAAACCCCAACAACACGCCATCTCAACAGCTTTGGGTCACCCTTGTATAACATATTTACTTATTAAATATTAATATTATGCATGCACATTAATTTGATTAGTTTGATCTTCATACTTATCTGAATATAATGTGTTTGTGTGATGTTACTCTGAGTGTATATCTACACCGGGCAGGCTTGCATATTTTTCAAGCCTGCCCGGTGTGGATATACACTCAGAGTAACATCACACAAACATCTTATTCACCTGGGTATTTGTCTCTTATGTAGTCTCATAGTTTGGTAACCGTGGTATATCATAGTTCAATGATTTGCATGGTAGATAGGGCTATTATATGTCGTAAGCGCCGTTTTTGGGTGTGGTCATTTTGGGACGTTTCGTCCCAGATTCGGGTTTTCAGCCGTTTTGGCACATATGCCATGTTGTCCGTCATGGTCAATATACCCTAAAACAGTTGAGATTTCTGTCCACATCATGAAATATTTTAAAATTCCTTATTCGTGACGTCATAGTAGTTACTTAGTTTGATTGTTCGCAGGCTACAGCAGATAATAAAATTGCGGCTCGAAGGAGTTGGGTGGTTTTGAACATAAAATTTTGAATCATAGAACAGAGCTCAGTCAGGGCGTAGGAAGCATTGAAAGACTGGGGGGCACCGGTTTCGAGAGGCACTTTTGGTGAATGAAAAGGGCACCTAAAAAATTTCCCGGAAATGTTGGCGACGGGAGAAGGGCGGAGGGAGGTAAGGTCAAATCTTGGTTAACATTTAGTATGGAAATTGACCCAAAACAGAAGATAATAATTTACTCTTAAAGAATAACTGACTACTTAAAAACATCACTTAGCCCATTTGCCTTGTAGAAAAACAAAATTTCTTTTTGGCAAATAAAAATTTCAGTTTGATGGGAAGGAGGGTGGAGGTGGGGACACACTGAAAAGTTTTATTTTGCGCAGGAATTTTTTCCTTGGAAAAAATGTACGGAAATGGCAGATATTGTACAGAACATTGGCAGACCAAGGGATCCTGCAGTCAGAAAGTGTTTTTTGTCAAATAGGAAGATCAGAAATCTGCTTGCCGGTTCTTGGTTCACAAAGGCATCTTGTGCAGATTCTTCAGGAAAGATTTTCAGTTTAAAGTTTTACAATTGGAAACATTTTCCACAGATTTCCATAATTGCAAGAATGTTTGTGCAGGAAATTAATTTCCTCCAAAGTCAAAACTTTACAGTCTGTGCAGTGGGGGGGGGGGGGGGGGGG